GGTGTTGCTCCAGCTGTGGTGGGAGCCGCAAGGGTTGCACGAGCTGCTCCACCGCGTAGTCGACGGCAACGACCGATAACGCCCTCCAAAAAAATTTCTAAATAAGCCAAAACTTTCGTAGGCCTGTATATAGTATAATCCTAGCTTTGCGCAATTTTATTACGATTTGTGGTGGCTCTACAGCCTCATCTTGTTGACTATATTGAGTTGTTGGGGGTGCTCAACTGGCGATGGTGCTCATCTGGTGCACGGGCACTGTAGTAGGGAAAACAATAAATTGCATCACATGATGAATCGTTTTCAGCGGGGGGGAAATACACACAGCCTTTTTTCATGACTCGGTCGCACAACTAACACACCCCAGCCCCAGCTACTTATTTCCACAATTGGATGTTTAACCCCCACCTCCCAACGACCCACAGTCCACACAGCCCACCCTCACAACTTGGCCAACGCCTTCTCCTCCCTCCCCCTCAAATTCGGATGCGGCGTCCTTACAGGCCTGGTAACGGCATAAAACGCCATTCCGCTCGACTGCGTCGAAAACTGCACTTTGGACCCGACGTGGAAAAACGCAAAGTCGCCCGCTACCAAATGGTGCGTGACGCCCGTCGCCTCGTCCAGCACGTCAATCTGCCCGCTGAGCACGTACTTTGTCTCTTCAAACGTGTAGTGCGCCGGCTTGGCGGGCCCGGCCTGGATCTTGTAGAAGCCCGAGGTGAGGTGTGTGGGGGTCGAGGTGGTTTGCGTGCGGATGCTTGTGGGGGTTAGTATGTAGTGCGTTGGTGGGTTGGAAGAAGAGGAGGGGGGGGGTGACTGAACGAGTGGAAATCAGCGACTGTTGCGTTGTCGCCTTCTGGCAGCGGAATAAATTCTTGGCCTGCGCCTTTGATTACGGTGAGAGGGACGAGGGAGGGGGTGGACACTAGATGTTTGTTATTCTGTGGTTAGCTATCCTTCTTCATGTCCTTCTTTGCACATGTTGTTCTGGCCGTAAGTAGCCATGTATTTCACGATCCGACTTACTTTTTCAAGTGCTTTCTTATCCTTCAGATACGTAGGAGTTTTTTTCTCTTTTCTTTTCTCTTTTTTTTGGATTGAATTATCGCGATACAATAAGTATGAATAAATGTAAAAAAAAAGGACACGGCTTATTATAAGCATTAGAATAGAAATGTCGGTGACTATGCAAAAAGTACATTTTCTACATACATTCCTCCCAGCACAATGCGATAGTTGCCCTAATCGGGTAAGCCGGGCCTGACTTCCCAGGTCAGGTAAGCTCGTATCAGCCCATGACGAAGGGATTTGGCCGAACACACACACACACACACACACACACATCTCTCGTTCTGCGGGTATACGCGGCGCCATCCAACGGTTATGCATGGATGCCGTTGCGAGAAGGCGTGTTTTTGGTGATATCCTAGGTGTGGGATGCGACAAGGCTATATGTGACCACGTGTTCATGGAGTAGTAGTACAATGGAGGTTTTTATGTTAAGAGAGAGAATCATAGTGGAAAAAAAAAATAAACAGACATTTCTGTTTTTTTTTTCTTGAGGCCTTCACACAAGGTACAGGCGAGAATGAAGACTTGGCTTACCTGAGTCGACGTCGCCATCGCAGACTAGATATCCAGGGAACTGCGTAACTACACTGCACTGCGCACACGGGCTTAACAAACAGCAAGTCCGCACGGCTCGCCCTTGCATTCGCACCTCCAGAACCAATGCTCTGTTCTTCCCCTGTATCCATTGTACACGCCGCATATGCGCCTACCCCCGCGACTCGTCGAAGTCGAATAAAAACAATCGAGGGAGAGACTTTTCCTCTGCACCATCCATTTCACTCGTATTGATATACAAGAGGGGGGCGGTAACCAGGTCGACGTTTTCATCCGCTACTATTTCCTATCTACGGGGTTATTGCTTGAAAAAACCGTATTTTCGTACCGTCGGCTTGATATCTCAACACGCACACGCACGCATCTCTACGAGCCAAAGTTCAGTCGAGCCACGTTACACCCCCTTGACTCAACGTACTTGGGATTCCCACCCGCTGGACCAACAGACTTGTTTCGCACGTTGCCTTACGACCACTACCTTGCCCAAATCAGCACTACACACACACCATGGTACCCCCCTTCCTCAGACGCACTCCCCCAACATGACTATTGTTATTGCCTACACATGATTCCTCCCTACTAACACGACAACTACTGTCTACATAGCCCGCCAGCACCAACCGTAGCAAGCATCTCTGGACCAGTCTCAAACAACGCATCCACAGCGCGACGTCGAAATGGCAGAAGAGTGCCAAGAAAGCGGTGGCTAAACTGCGGCGGCGGCGGCGGCGTGGGAGCGAGGCACAGCAGCGGGCCGAAGAGCAGCGTAAGCACGAATTTGTGGTGCAGAGACGACAGGTGTTGACGTGGTTGGATGGGCAGGGGGGTAAGATTGAAAAATTTTCTGTTTCTGTTCCTCGGATTTTGCTTGCTTGCTTACTTATCGCTTTCTCTGTTTCCATTACACACACCCACACACTCCCACACATCTACTTACTTACTTACTTACTTACCCTCCTCCTTTTTTTTTCCCCCAGCAGAAACAAATCCAGACACGCTGCCTGCACCCGCGCAACACGCTACACGGCGGGACTCGCCTGAGGAGTATGGGTCGTTGCTTGGCGATGTACGGGTGCATGGGTAGGTAGATTTAGATGTACAGGATGGCAGGTAGCTAGGTACAGTAAAGCGACTGAAAGAAATCTGAAAAACAAGAAAAGAAAAGAAAAGGGGGGGTTTTAAACTACGTCACAGATGCACTTGCTTGACATGCTACATATTTACACACATATGTACTTGATAGAGTGTAGAACAGAGCCTGGGTAGGTATGTAAGTCGGCATGTATATCAAGTATGCTATCCAAGGCGTGTGCAGGGAAAGCCACGGAATTGGTATGTAGATTGTAAATCAGTGAGTAGTAAAACACGTCACACCAAGATGTGCAGTGCTATGTTGGATATATTCTTACATCCATGTATATGTTGATGAATGAATGACGTGGTGATGTTGATATAGCATTGTCTGTGACACTACACGGCAGCATGGGATAGGACACGGCACGTTTGAAATAGGGGAAAAACAAGGGGGAGAACAGGGAAAAGAAAAAAGGGGGAGAAGATGGCACAAGAAGGATATATACGACGCACTGATATGTTCATTTGGCTCATTTGCCCCGCTCATTTGGCTCTCTCGCTGTCTCGTTTGATACATTGCTTACTCCCACTCCCACTTACACGCTACCCAATGCACTCCAATCCAATCCAATCCAATGCACTCGACTCGACTCCAGTTTCAAACCAAACCAAACCAAACCAAACCAAACCAATCCAATCCAATCCACTCATCTCTTTGTACAATACAAATGCAAGCCAGTAAGGCAAAAAAAAAGAGCGAATATACCCCAAAAAAACACAGGACAACAGAAACAAGGAGAAAAAAAAAGTCTAGCACAAGGCATCTATCATGCACAACCAAGACCCCAGGGGTGATATCAACATCAATCAACAACCAAGACCAAATGGGATATGTAACAACAACAACAACAACAACAACAACAACAACAACAACAACAACAACAACAACAACAAGGTTATGCACCAACACCCGGAACACTGACACCGCCCGCGGCCAAATTCAAGCCGCCGCCTCTACTTCTCGGGCCGACAAAGCCCTGTCTCTGTCTACCTGTGCGACCTCTACCCAACCAGTTATACTTGAGTTCTTTGTTGAGTCTCCCGATTTTGTCCTGGGCGTCGTCGCTGCTCTGGAGGCTGACAAGGACCGAGACGCACTGGAGCATGCGGCCAACGGTTTCGGTGACTTTTGTGCTGTCCATGGGTTGGGGCCGCAGGGCGGCGGGGGGCAGGTTGTGCGAGTGCGAGGTGGGCGGGGGGTGCAGGTGTGCGACTGTGGTCGGGGGATGTTGTGAGGGGTTTGAGGAGAAGGAGCCGGCCGAGGTGTTGGATGTGGCGCGGGAACGGGTGCTGGCAAAGGTGGACGAGGTGATGCTGGTGGTGGACTCGAGGTAGCCGCCGCTGCTCTGGCTGGTGGAGTTGAGGCTGCCGAGGAGGGTGTCGTTTGCGCTGCCTGCGGTGCCGGGGCGCGTGTCTTGGGGGATGGGCGAGGGCGAGTCGAGGCCAGCGTTGAGGTTCTCGAGCGAGAGGCGCGAGAAGATGGCCATGAGGGCTTCGTAGCGGGGGAGAATGACAATGTCGCGGAACATGAGGAGCGTCATGCGGCGGACTTCGAGTTCGCCGAGGATGGGTATGTTTTTGTGGTTGGGGCTCTTGGTGTTCATTTCGTCAGGGAGCATGACGCCCCAGAATTCGGCTGCTTGCGCCGAGGTCATGATGCCGGAGCCTCTGAACTCCAGGTCAAGAGGGAGAAAGACGGCTTGGAGAAAGGGTAAGATGGTGGTGAAGACAACCAGCCACATCTCGACGAGGTGCGGAATCAACCGGTCGTCGGGCACGTGTCGAAGCGTCTGGTCGAGCGAGCCAAAGCCAGTTTGTAGAAGCTCATTGAGGTCTTCGATGAGGATAATGGGCGAGCGCTTTTGGATGCAGCGCTTGATGTGGACCGTGACGAGGGCGTTGAAGTCCTCGACGGGCGGGCGTGGGTCTTCGCCCTCGAATATCAACAGAACCCTTGCTTTGAGCAGTGGCCAAGCATCGTCTGGCGAGAGACCGTGGATACCAAACGAGCTGCCCAAATGCGACATTTCAGAGGTATGCGATATGGCCTGGCCAGGCGTCGAAAGATTCGAAGTGTTGGATATGCTGCCCGCTAGCAATGGCCATTCTGATCTTTCTATGCTAAAAGACTGGTTCCGTTCTCGGTGCGGCGGGTCCAACTGTGCATCCAGGTAGGCGGCCGTCTTCTCCTCTTTCTTGGCGCGTCTCAAGTGGCGGCCGCCGTGCCTCAGATCCAGGCCGGTGACGGAGCTGGCAAATGTGCTGGAGTGGCCTGGCGATGACGGGGCGGCGAAGGAATACAGAGGCTCAGGGGCGCTGGGGTTGGTGGGCTTCGAGTTGCTGCTGGCCGACGACAGCGGGAGCGCAAAGCTATCCTGGTCCTTGAGCTTGTGTTTCTGGCGCGACAAGAAGTGGTGCTTGTGCTTTTCCTCCTTGCGCTCCGGCAGCGACTCGTTCCGGGGGGGCACCAGGGTCGAAGTGGATGCGTTGGCCGACGAGTACAGCGAGGCGCTGCTCGAAGGTGCGCTTGGATCGACCAAGCTCGTCGTGGACCCGGCCATCATCATGCGGTTCAGCGCCTGGGAGCTGTGGATGCCAATGCCAATCTTGCCTGGCGAGGGCAGGGCCTGGTGCTTGCTCTCAGCGCGGTTGTCGACCTTGATGTTCTTGGGCTTGGACGAAAACAGCTTCATCTTGCTCTTCCCCTCCTTGGGCTTCTGCGACGGCGGCAGCTCTGGCGTGGCCGCGGGCTTGGGCGAGGCATGCGCCTGGGAGCCCTCGACGCCGGGCGAATTGAGCGGGCTGCGTGGAAAGGCAGCGTTGGCGGCCGTGGTGGCAGCCACCACCGTCTTCGATGCTCACACCGCGCTGCATCCGCTATTACGACGCTCCCCATGCTGGCCATGAGAGCGCTGGAATAGCTGCCCGTCGATAGCGCCCCGCCCCGCCTCTCGTCCCCCCGCCCTCCAAGCCCACGCCTGCGCCCGCCCACGTCGCCCTGGTCGTCGAGTGGACAGCCTGTGCCTGCATCCTGCTCGCGCGCCCATAGCCACCGCCGGCCCCCAGCAGCAGCGCAGCAGCGCAGCAGCAGCCACACGCGCCGCAAAAGAAACACCAACCCCAGAGCGCCCTCGCCATGCCCTCGTCGTCGCCCCCGCCCGCGACGTCGACGTCGACGCCCGCGCCGCTGCCCACGGTCCGCCGCCCCGTCTCGCTCGACGAGTCCGACTCCGACCACCAGCAGCAGCAGCAACAGCAACAACAACACCAACAACAGCACCAGCAGCACCAGCGCCGCCCTGCGCTGCCGCCCGCGTCGGTCAAGTCGCCCACGGCGCCCGAGTCGCGCGCGCCCGGCCCCTCGTCGTCTGCCCACAACTACTCGCGTCCCGCCATCGTGCGCGATGCGCCCCCGGCCCAGACGCACATCGGCGCCCACCTAGGCCACCGCCCGCGACAGCGCTCGCAGGGCTACTTTGAGCCCAGCCTGAGTTCGATGAAGGAGAGCCCCGTCCGCGAGCGCGATGCCATGGCCCCGCAGAGCACCCTCAATGCCTCGCAGATTGCTGCCCAGGCCGCCTACGCCCAGAACCCCCAGCACTACCGCAAGCGCTCCACCACCATTCCCGCCGCCAACGACGCTGCCCCCGCCGACCGCGCCCAGCCGCTGAGCCCGTCCGCCGCCCCTGGCCAGAGCATGACGTTCCGCACCAATGGCATGACATACCAGGGCGCCGGCAGGACCGGTGCATCTGATCTGACCTGGCGTGCAACCCAAGACTGCCGTTGTTCGATGCGGCCGTTGGACTGATCGGCCCAGCTCAACGCCGCCGCTGTGCCCGTGCGCCTAACCTCCCCCCCATCATCGCCGCCCTCCTCCCCCTCCTCCATCCCTCTCTGCTTACATGTTCAATTAGCCGACACGCCCACGCCCGCCATGCCCCCCCTGACCGCAGCCTACGCCTCGCCCACGTCCGCGTCGCACACATTCACCGCCGCCCTCCCAGCCCTCGCCTCTTCCCCGCCATCGACGCCCGACCGCGTCGCCTACCTGGGCGAGCTCGCCGCGTCGCTCAAGCACATGCAAAAGGACATCAACGACTTCCTGACGCAGAAAATGGCCGACGACAAGGCCGCCGACGATGCAGCCGCCGAGGCAACGTATGGCGAGGAGGTGGTTGACGACGACTGAGTGTGCCCACACGACATTTTATTCCTATTCCGTCAAACGGGTATCTGCGCAAAAACTACCGCTGCCATGACTCGTCCACCATCACCGTCACCATCACCGCCATTCCGACGTCCCAGGCGCTCTCCGCCCCACGCCGCCCCTCATGCACCCGCTATGCACCACGCTGTTGTCGGGAAACACGCGGATCGCACTCCCCCCGAACCGCTTGTGACACACGGCACAGTGCCTGTCCTCGTCAATCACCACCCTCCGGTTCAGTCCGCCTGGCACCCTCCTTCCGTGCTGGTCCACCTTGTTGTCAGTCCCGAGTAGCATGGCTGCTTCCACGGCCACCTTCTCTACGCCCCGCAGCCGCGAAACAATGCGCTCTTCGTTGAGCAGCGAGTTGGCATTGCGGATCCGCCCAAAGAAATACGACTCTAGATCCTTGACCGGCAGCGTCGGCGGTATCAGGTCCAGCGTTGTGGCTGCCGGCAGTCGCGCCCCGTGCTTGGATAGGAGCTCGAGGGCTGGAGGCCAGTTTGGCGCATGCGGAGGCGGCGGCGAAAGATACAGGGATAGAAGAACATGGTAGATGGAGAGCTCCGTGTCCTCAATGGTGCCTTGGATGTTGTTGGTCGCAGGCTGCGAAGGCCGGTTGGGCGAAGAAGACGCTGGTGGCGCTGTGTAGACCTGGTTGCAGTATCTGGAACACGTTAGTCGGGCCTACAAATATGCAAAGGCACACCTACTCCTCTGCTTTCCTGTAGTCTTTCAGCTGGAACACATAGATTGCCAGTGCTTGCTTGTGTGATCCCATCTTACTCAACACAATCGCCCGTGCCTCGTAGTAATCTGGATCTGATCATTTCGTCAGCCAACTTCACTCGAACCCCTCCCCCAATCCCAATCAATACGTACCATTTGCCGGCAGCTGCTGAAACACGCGATACCGGTTGTACTGTGCATTATTCTTCTTCAAGAACGACTGCAGCCTCTCTCTCCAGTCCGCCTTTTCCTCATCGCCCGCAAAGTCTCCACTCTTCAGCCGTTCCAGCAGCAAATCCACGAGCCGCTGATGGAAATCGACATTGAGGTCGTTGAGCTCCTCGATGATATGCTCCAGGTACCTGACGGCCAGCTTGAGGTCGATCTTCTGCAGAAACTCGAGCACCCGGTCTCTCGGCAGCGTCTCTGCGTTTTCCGTGTCGGCCAGGAAAACCTCCATGCCCAGGTCTGGGTTGACGCGCAGCGGCCACTCGGCATACTCGAGGATCAGATCAATCAGCTCCGGGGGCAGTGCCTGCAGATAGCCGACGGTACGCTGTGGGCCCTGCAGTGCGGGCGAGACCTCTTCATCCGCCTCATTCTTGCCGAATTTTTCCAGCAATTCCAGTGCTTGTCTGTGCAGCTTCTTGCCGTGCAAGAAGTCGATTAGGTCGGCGTAACGGCCCGTCTCGTACAGCTTTTCTTGGACCACGTCTGGCTCGCAAAAGTTGGGGAGGCGGAAGAGCGAGCCTGCTACGCTGGGGTTTGCAATCATGTAGGCGCGGAAGAGCGTCGTGTCGACTAGCTGGGCTACTTCAAGCAGCTTGGCTTTCCAGTCTACCGGGCCCTGCAGCGCATCTTCTTCAATAAAAAAGTGGAAAGGCGGCTTTTCCGCTTCCAGCTGGCTGCCACTCGGCGTCGGCAGGGGCTCCCTAAGATTACCCTCCGTGTCGATGTAGCGTTTAATCTGCACGCGGCATTGCGTAAGGAACGACTGCAGAGCACGAACAGACTCTTTGAACTCCTTCTCCGAGACGGCCTTGTCAGGCTGCGGTGCCTCGGGTGCTTTCTTCCTAATGCTCGCTGTCTCCGCGGCGTCGTCCTTGACAGCAGTGGTGCGGATAGAGGCAGCGTCAGAGTCAATCTTCTTATGTCCGCCCACACCAAACCGCCCCATCATGGTTCGGCCAATCGCCGATGCAGGAGGAGGCGTGCTTTCACCAGATTCCTTGGCGCTCTTCTCTCCATTCGTTTCTTCCTCGTCTGTAACGCTTCCGTCGCCCTTGACACTCTCCTCGGGCGCCAAGTTCCCAGCGATAGACCGCGGATACAAGGCAATGACCCGCTCGGGCGGTGCCTTTGCATCGATGAAGAGTTCCATGGCCTCACGGTACTTTTTGATTTCAAACAGTGCTTGGGCCTTGAGTATCTGGATCTCTCGTATCCGTCCCTCTTTGTCCAGAAGCAGTGTGTCTTCCAGCATGTTGAGCAGGCTCAAGGCCTCGTCGTACCGCCCGTTGGCCACCAGCTCATCAATCTGCGTCTCGTAGCTCTGCGCTCCCATCCGCCATATACAGCGATCGCTGGCGACCAGGAAGCCTTTTCCAGCATGGGCTAGACTAATGTTGGGCTGAGGCACATGGAGGAAATTGACATTCGGCAGGGAGATGAGCTGCAGCAAGCTAAGCGTATCCGGGTTCCTGATTTCCAGGCTGCCCTTTGAAGGCGACTGCAGCGTGAGCATGTACGGATAGGAATAAGCAATGGTTTCGGGGGCAGATTGCCAGGGTACCTGGCGCTTGTCCAGGGCGTTGCCGTCCGTATCGATGAACAAGCTGTTGACATCCTTGGCCAGCAGCATTTCGCCCTCTCCAAGCCGTGTCGCAAGAGGCCTCGGCACCCAGCTGCCCATGCCCATGTATCCCATGCCAGAGGATGACACGGCGCCAAAGCGCACACCGCCCTGACTTGCATTCTCTGCGAGCGCACCTGGCTTGATAATGTCTTGGACTTCCTGTGTTTCGATATTAACCATGACAAAGCCCGGGTCCATGCCCGCGACAATCTTTGTGCCCGTTGCCCATGTCAAGCTCTTGACCGAGGCGATGAGCGACATCTCGACCGCGTCGCCCGTCAGCTCCATGTCCTGCCATGTCCACAGTATGATCTTGCGCTTCACCGCCACAGCCAGATGGCTCACAATAGACGGAATGCCCGTCGACGGGTCCTTTATAATGTTGCTGGCCGCAGCGAATGTGGTGGCGCCTTTGGTCTTCTCCAGCTTCTCCTGCAGTGTGTACGTCTGGATGTCGTGGATCGAGACATAGTTGTCCGACAGCGAGACAAGTATGTTTGCCTCCTTGATGATGGCGAGCTGCTGGATCGGTCGGCGCGAGAACTTCTCTTCTTCGCGGAGCAGGTCTGCGGACTTGGGCTTGGGCGTGGGTGGCTGCTGCGCGTCGCCGTTCTGGTCGCCATTCTGCTGGTGCTCGACGTCGTCGTCTTCGGGCTGGTCGTTGACGCGGTATATGCGCAGGGAGCCCGTGTTGAGCCCGACAAGTACACGATCGCCTTGGATTGTTAGTCAAGTCGACGAGATGCGCTGCAGGCTTGCTGTACTTACCGTATGCGAGGATCGACTCGATCTTGGACTTGTCGCGCTGTTTGAGCTCGACGATGGGCCGGGCGGTGAATGCAGAGAGCATGGTGGCTATCGTTTGGCCTGCTGCTTCATCTGGTCCTAGTATCGCCGCTATGCGACTGCTGTTGTGCGCACCGAGAGCTCATGAACAGTGCCGGGTTGCGCCTGAAGCTCGGCGGTCCGTTGTACGCTACGGCGGACCATTACACCACCAAGGTCGGAAACTAAATCGCGTCACACAAACCGCGTAAACTAAGCTGCAAGAACGCTAGTACCTGCTTTGCTTTACTATACTATATACTATTATAGCCACCTTTATGTTAATGCCTTTTACATAATGAAACAAAACACTAACGTGCAGGGTCAGTAAGCTGGGCAGATCAGTAAGCTGGGCACCCCACCAAACTTCGCGCGACGTTCTGCGCAATTAAGCCACAACAACGTATTAAAATAATATAAAATTAAGATATATAGTTTACTATTTAGCTCTGCATGAAGTCCGAGTATGTCCTTCAACGTGACACTTCGTGCACGTTGGCGGCGCGCGCTGACGTCGCTCACCAGCCTGGTTCTAGCTACCCCCTATAAGTAACCTTTCTGCCTCTGCCATAAGCTGCTGAGCCTGCTGCACCTGGAGTACCCTACTAGAAGCAATATATTAACGCTGTTGATTTTGCTTTTGCCGCTGACGCTAGTTCTCTTTACGTAGCTTCTTATTCTCCTCTGCAAGTATCGTTGCTAATTGCATTACAAGCTAAGCGCTCTTAGCAAGCTGGCGTATCGCAACGCTTGTTGGACTCTCTAGCTGCCGGCGCAGTCGCTCTTGGAGATACCGCACCTGCTGCTGAAGCTCTGCTACTGTATGTGGTGTCTCTGTCTGCGTTGCTGCCTGCGCTATAGTGTTATTATCTGTGGTTGTCTGTGGTGGAGACGGTGTTCTGGCTACTGTGAGCGACGATAGAACGCGATCTGGACAAGGAGGGACAAGCCCTGTCGCCCGAAAGCCTGCCTGGATATTCTGCTGCGTAAAAATCTTTAGCCGGATCCGTGTATAGGCTGCAAGGAAGTCTATCTTGTTAACGTGGTAGACCCCATGCCGGGCGAGCTCCTCAACCTCGCGTCCGTACGCGCGCTTAAGAGGAGAGTAGCAGCTCACATCTAGAGGCTGGAGGAGGTGCGACGTGTGAGGCGGCATACAGAGAGTGATAATCTTATTCTCAGTGCAGTACTGGTCGAACTCTGGCGTTGCGTGGCTACCATGAGCGTCTAGAATAAGCAGCCGATAGACTCCAGCTGTACGAGCCGTTGTATGCTGGTTGAAGTGCTTTACCCACTCTACGCCAAGCTGATCAGTCGTCCAGCCGTTGTCTGAGGTGCCGATAGTCCAGTCTGGTGGGAGATTGTGATACCAGCTGCTCTGGTGAACCTTGCCAGACAGTATCACGAACGGTGGCAGAGACCAGCCAGACGCGTTAACGCACTCGATCACTGTAACCCACTCCCGATTGCCTGGCTGTACGACGACTGCCCGACCAACTCTATCAGAGCTAGTTACGACTTTTGACGTACTAGCGACGCCCATTGCGAACCCAGTCTCGTCAAAGTTATAGATATCCTGGTCTAGCACGCCGTACGTCTGGCGCGTCTCCTCTACCAACTTAAACCACGCTACGATTGTAGCAGGATCTTCGTACTGGGCGCGCTGGCTGTTAAGCCTTCTACTCCACTTCGTCTGAAGCTCTGGCTGGCTCTGGATAAAGCGCGACACCCATTTCTTGCCTACAGGTTGTGGAGGTGGATCTTGGCCACGCGCGGCGAGTAACGCGTCTGCCATCCGTCGTACGTCGATAATATGGGGTGGAAAACCACGACGGTTAAGGTCTAGGATCCACTGCACAAGGGACTGCTCTTCAATGGACGATAGCTTACGGTTAACAGACCGTAGCTCTAGTCGTGGCTGAGTACCATGAACGCGAGTATGTAGTGTTGATTGTGGCACATCATATGCTTTTGCAAGAGCACGGATAGATTGTTTTGGATTATTACGATAAGACGCGATAGCAAGGCTTATTCTGCCTTCACGAGAAGTATGTATAGAACGTTGTTGTCGCGGCATGGTGGTGGTTGTGTAGAGCGTCGCGTCAAGTTTGGTGGGGTGCCCAGCTTACTGATCTGCCCAGCTTACTGACCCTGCACGTTATATTGCCCGAGGAAATCAGCCAACTAGGCTTAGCTAAACTGTGTACAGCTGGGTGTCACTTTCTGAATGCACTTGCGGCGCTATGATAGCGCAGCGTCTTTAATAATACTTTAGCTGGTACATCCCAAGGTTCTTTGATCTCTTGTTATCCAGCAACTCTTTAGAGGGACAGCGCCGCGACGGCCCCACGGCGCTGCACTCTTACTATATACGTGATAACAAGTTGCATGAACACATAGTGCAGAAGAAGAAAAATAAGACGAAAAGCTACTACCACTCGCAAAGTCCTCCACCTAAGTACTTGTCCAAACTTGCTCAAAAGATATAGGTCACGTGATGCTTCATCACGTGATATCTACTTAGCCAACCTCCTGGTATAGTTCCATAGGCGCAGCCCTTTACATGGAGTAAAGAAGAATAAAATCACTTCTCGAGGTTGTGAAGTCTTTAGATGCATCAGGTTCAATCACATTCATATATAGTGTTGCTTGTACTCAACTCATCACTGTTATATCGTTCTCATCTTCTGGGGCTACCAACATCCCTCCTCGTAAACCAGTTCCACTAATAGGGAACGCCATCCATACCACCCTTGCAGACATCGTCTCCTGCTCTTCCCTTGCCCACAATCTCAAAGCTACTCGGCCATCCAAACCACGAAGCTTCGTAACGGCGGCATTTGCTATCCATCTGTGCCATTGCGTAAGAAATATCCTGGCGGTCTGCATTGCCACATTTTCCGCTTTGCTTGACGCAGTAATACACCATCATTTGCTCACTGATCTCTGCATGCCAGTTTTGTCGGCCTGGTGTGTTCGAACAAATGTCCCGACCGCTGCCAGCCCAGTTCGCCAGCATTTGGTATGCTGCGTCGATGCCGGATTCGTCGAGTTGATAGCCCCAGCAATCGATTCGGCGCTTGGACAATTTGTTGAGGCCGGACGATGAGAGCATATCGCGTCGGTTGGCGGTTCGTAGTGCTGCTAGATCCTCGGGGGTGAGGATAATAGGAGCAGCGTTGGCATCAACGGGAGGGAAGACTTGAGTGCCGTTGCTGTGTCTAGTCACAGTGTAACTACCGTCTGGGACACCGGCGGCGGAAACGGTAATGATGCTGGCGAAGAACGCCACGGCTGTAGAAGTGAAGCGCATAATGAACAGATTGGGTCTCGGTAAGAGAGTATTGAAGTTGGTGGTTAAGGATAAGTTGAAGGTAGTTGTTTGGAGGAGTGGTAGTGAGCTCATGAAGGTGGAGAGCACCCCCTTTTATCTATCAATTTTCCAAGCATCTACCCACAAGTACTTCCTGCATAGCTGGACAAGACGGAGGTAGCCTAAGCCTAGCTATTCTGGGCTGTGCAGAATGGCGTGCAGAGTATATGAGTTGTACCAGCATTATACGAAACTTCGGGATTTGATAAGCGTCAGAAAATGGACTATGTAGCTTTGTTAATAGTAGTTCACTGCTGTGGTGTTTGGGGACCTGACACTAGTCTCTACCGTATAGGAATAGTGTCTGGGTTCGTAATTTCAATATTCATGTACTTTCTGGTGAAAATTTACGGCTGCCAGAGAGACATTGCAGAGAAATAGGTGGTCTCTAGCAAGTTATCAAGCAGTATCCATACATGCTTCAATGCTTTGTTCAGTTACGCTCTCTTTGACTACAACTCGACTACAACTCGACTACAATTCGCATAGATGAAAGTGATGTTTAGCAGTATACACAGTACTCAAGCAAGCTCACTGCGGTAAGGCGCGCTCTGGTAATGCTCGTTGTGGTATAAGGCCCGCTGTGGTAAGGCCCACTGCAGCCAGGCCCGCAGTATGCCATTCATCCAAGCCGCGCCAATGCAGCCGTATCTGGTAGAAGATGTGCAGTAGCTCTGGCGCAAACTAAACCGAATAGGTCAGCTTTGCGAATGGCCAAGAACCAGGAACGCATGCAATAGTTATTGCTACTGAAACATGAACTTCTGCTACGAGATGCACCGGGTAAATTGCAGCCAAGAGTACTTACAGACCTTGCGCAACATATACTCAATTCGGTTGTGCGTTAATCTTGTGCAAAGGATGCGCTATTAAGGGTGTGCCGCGTCCAAGACCAGTACTTACCAAAATATCTCTGCAGCCTCCAATTACTTAGTGTCATGCAATGTTTCGGGGTTCATAACACCAAGAGTTTATACCAAGGTTATGCCGCGCAAATCTAAGCGGGGTTGTAAGATGAGGGGCTATTTCTGTTCTCTAAGAGAAACCACCAATAAGTGTACATGCCATAGAAAGTTTGGCGTAACAGAATTACGCGAAAGACTGACTATAAACATTCCTACAGCCCGTAACGGAGCTGAAAAAGGGTGCAGCTTTAGCAGCTTTTCGATTTTGCTAGGTTATTTAGGGTCCTATAGAGCTTAAATAACTATATAAATATTTTTATAGCCTATAATAGTGCTTAAGAGAAGTGTATATTTAGTACTTATTCTAGCTACTCTAGCTATACTAACGTTCTAGCTTCTCTAGCTCTACTAGCTTCTCTCGCTTTTCTCGCTCTTCTCACTTCTCTGGCGCTCTGGCGTTCTAGCTATTTTAACGTTCTAGCTATTTTAGTATTCTTCATGTAACGAGAGCTGAATCTAACCTAAGATAGAGATTCCTAACATTTTGGCACCTATTTAATGAATAATAATAGAGCTTCTTAGAGCTAATAAGAATGAAATCTACCGACAAAGTCTTGCATTTTAAGCCCCTATAGAAAACATGACTAAGCTAACACGCGTGACTGATTTTAATATGCAGCTAAAGCTGCAACAATCGGATCCGTGTCTCTGAGGGCAGGTCTCGAGAGTACATGCCAGTGCGATAAGTGGACAAGGAGCGAGTTTTGTCCTTGCCACGTTCAAGCTGTCTGTTTGCTGCCAAGGTCTCTGGTGCAGAGCTATCGAACGCTCAAAGAGCCAGTACTTGGGCGAAAACTGCTCCATCGAAGACAATGTTGCAGGATATGTCTCCAAGACCGACGCATACTACGCCTTCACTCTAGCTACACACTCTCCAATTGCTTTTCTTCCCCCCAGACTGCTGCTACATGCGACAGCATTTCCCAATCGAAAGTTTACCCTCTGAAAGCCCTTCCGACGAGAGCGATTACACTGGGTCTGCAGACAATGGCGCGGAGTTGGATACAGATCTGAGCAATATACATGACCGACAGTTGCATTGTCGATTTATTGATTATTTAAATATCTGGAATAGGCACGGGTCCCTTAGGGGGGTAGCGTGTAGGCATGAAGGCCTGGTGTATCGTCCTATTACCCCAACTAGCAGGATGATCGATATCCGAATGCAGCAGGCCGTAGCTCTGGAAGATAAGCAAGTCCTGCTCCTCATCCGGGCCTACCCAAATATGCTCAGGCTTGATAATTCTGGTCTGGATCTTATCCAAAAACTTCCTGACTTCGCCCAAGTCATCGATGATCTTAGGAGTCTCGTCTGGGCCGTTGCGAATGAATAGCCGACGAACCAAGTGATGTATACACTGGAATGACTTCCTGCCATTAACGGGGTTAACCCAGACGAGTGGGTACTACAGCATTGTTAGTGTGCAATAGATGAAGCTTCGTCCAAGTATAACCATACCTTCTTTTGCCAGTCTTTACTTGCCCCTCCCAACGTGAGCAGCTCTTCGTCTGGCTGCTCCTTGCCTTCAGTGACGACGCCTAGACCATTAGGAGCATATTTGCAGTCCTTGAGATTCTCAAATGGCCAATAGTTGTACTCGGCCCAACTATGGTCTGCCATTCTCTTCTCGTCGTCGCTGAGCATGTCATACAATTGCTCAACGTCTAAGAACGCCTGGCGCCCTGGCTTAACTTCCAGAGTCATACCTGAGCCGTCAGCCCATTCTACAGTCTGCTTGTCCAGGCCTTCTGAAGGAAACTTGATCGGTCGGAGAATAGTAAACTTTGTAATATCTTTATGCCAGTAGTATCCGTTCATGTACCACCTGTGGAAACGGGTACGTCCGGCTTCAAAGTCCTCGTCTGAGAGCGGTACGCTGTAGGTAAGGCTTAACTTATTGTCGCCCATGTCTAGGCCTGGTTTACCGTAGCGCGGGTCGTTTTGGGGTCCTTTCCCAATATAATAAAACAATCCCGCATCAGGGACTGTGACAGCGCGGAAGGAGTCCTTGAACATATTAGCACCTTTCGAGGCTTCGCTGTACTGTTGACGTTGACTTACTCTAAACCACTGGTGAGGGTGAAATAGATCAGCCAATTCATCCTCGCCCATATCAATTATCTCTGGGTCAAGAGCTTGCAGCAATTCCCAGGAACGCTTCGGTTTAAGGTCATGTTGACCTTTGATAATAAGAAGTTTATGCTCCCAGGTCAATTTCTCCAACTGCGCCACTATCTCTGGGGTGAAATTGTTCAGATCAAGACCGGTAATAACAGCCCCAAACTAAGCAAAGAATTGTAAGCAAGGGTTGTATTCCACAGACCTAATTACTCGTACCTTGCATGTCTTCCCTTCAGGATGGACCAGAGGCTCGATCTTGAAGTTGCTCGCCATTGTGTTTAGAACAAGGGATACACGTTTAAGTTCAGTCTGGCGCGTATACAATGTCAATTGCAGCTCCACAATCAACAAACGATGGGATAATTATCAACTTGTATGCAAACATGTCTTCGCTTTATAGAGCCTTATGCACAGGTTCGGATGGTTTCACAGACACCTTTTTGCCAAGTCAAAATTGCAACCTCGGGTTCCGATGTAGACCAGAATATGCCGAATCCTACGACTTGCACACAGCCTAAAAATGGCGGCTAGTAACGAAGAGTCTTGGAAGAGAGAATGTGAAAGGGGGGGAGTTGGGTCTCGGGCCGAATACTTACAGGTTTTCAGCCTCACGACGTGTAAAGCTAGCTCACTGCAGCTTTAGCTGCAGATTATAGTCAAGTTTGACCACGTGTTCTCCACAGAGTGTCAAATTTTCCATGGTCATTGGCTAAACTGAGATCTGATCTGAGTAGCTCTTAGGGCGTGCGTCTCACGTGACATGCACTACTACCAACGCCTATCACCACCACCACCACCACCGCCGCCGCAGAAGCTTCTCATCACCACCGCGGCGGCGACCTACTGTAGTAGCTATTCATCCAGCTGCTATTGCAGCTGCTACTCCATATATATATATATATATATATATATATATGAGACTATCAATCAGCAACTAAAGCGGCTTCTACCTTGGTGCCCATTTACAACCAATACCTGTTTATTAGCCTTCAGTTTCAACTACCACCTACAATAGAATGGTTTAGCGATACATTTTCTCTTAGTAAAGCTATTAGAAAACTTTGTATGCGAAAGCGGTGCAGTTGTTACCAGCGAAAAAGACATATTCCTACAGCGTAGCGATTGCCCTAATATCCTACAGAGTTCTACGCCAAGTAAGCCTCTCAAGACAGTTATATACAAAACGACTCGGAACATCAAAGACTAATCCAAAGCTTAAGAGCCTCCTTGTACTTCAACACCCCGAGACCAGTAACCGCATCCCAGCCTACAGCAGGCGGATAAGCGGTATATGTATTGTTGCAAGCTCTGCTGCTCTCGCCGTGGGTAATATCTCTGACGATGGTATCGGCGTATTTGTACAGAACGGGATTGATGAAGCCCACGACGGGTTTCCCCACAGCCAGGCGCTCGAGGTTGATGCGCGAAATAAGCGCGCCGACATAATTTACCGCCACTGAGGTCCCGCCTCCAGGGCGGATGATGCCGTCGAAAATAATATAGTCGGACGAAGTACTTGCAAGGGCGGAAATGTCGGGAACCCCGCGCCCAGAGAGACTGCGGATGCCACGTGCGCCGAACTGGGAGATGACGTCCGCCAGTACGGTATTGTTCGCCACCAGAGGAGCTAGTCCCGTGAATCCAGGCTGATCGATGGATGCGGCTTTGAGGTAGTTACCAACGACATGCTTCTGCCACTTGGGCCGTGCATAGATGGCGGAAATGCCACCCCCGCTCTCATGATAAGCTAGCTCTGGGTTTTCGCTCGGCTGGCGAACATCAACGCCGTCTTTGAGCATTGTCCCGCCAACAGCAGTGACATAGGGACAGTTTCCTGGCGCCACGACGTTCCAGCGATCGCTATTAGGGCCCCAGCACGTGCGAATGTTACCAGCGACCCCGAAATCGCCGGTTGCGACAAGGACCGTTGTGCCCTGGAGTGCGAGTTTCATGAATTCGTTGCACTGCCGGCGTTGATAGGAACTATGCGGATTTACCAATTAGAGAAGCACCTAGAAAATAAGGGAGAGGGGTTTGTGTGAGTATCCCATCAACTTACATGGGATAATAATCCTCTGTTGCTCCCCAAGCGCTGACAAGCACAGATGGCGGCTTTACTCCTCCACACTGCGTTGAACCATTATACCTGCCTATTGTCGAACCGGGGTATTGCGCATCCCAGCCTGGCAGAGACCCAGTAATATTATACGCGCTATACGTGCAGTACGAGCCTACAGCAATCAGCCTAGTCCCTCGAGTATCGCGAATTACATGTAAGCGAGCTGCCGTCTTACCGTCAAAAGCATCCAGCATGGTATTCATACCGCCCGCTAAGTTCGTGTCGGCTTGGATAACTGGATCATCCGGACTGACAATCGTCACCGTGTTTGGAGCCACCAGCGGCACGGTCAGCGAGATATCCATGTAGAGCTCACCCGTCTGCGTAACATTAGACCGTTTGTCGGCTGCACCGTCGATGAGAGTTTGCTTAGGTGTGGTGCCCTTTGGCACGTCGGGGGCATAAGCCGCCCAAAAGGCGTCAAGATCCTCTTGCTTGTACTTGCCGTTTCCGCTGGTGTAGATGGCGTGTGTGTAATTGGGATTCGACGGCGCAGGTCCTTGAGGGACGCCATAGAGATCTCGAATGCACGCGGTTCCAGTGACGAGTGATTGTTGCTGCATGCTGCGGTGCTTGCAAGCCTCGTTTCTAGCTGATGTGGTACTGGGGCACGCTGTGGCTCGATTGGAGCGTCTCGCTTTTGTAAAGCGTCTTTGCCAGCATCCATGTGGTGAGATAGAGCAATTCCAGGCCATATAAAATCGACATGTTCGCTAACGCCTACAGGCACGTGGTACACGTCTGTCGATGCTACAGTATGCCCAGACTCATGGTGATAGTTGTGGAATTTGGTCCTTAGCAGGTTTTCCAACTGCTGTACAGTTGCTGAAAATTCGATCCAGCCTTTGTTTCTGGACTGTGTGATAGGCTGGACGAGGTCGGCAGCCGGAATGGATTCTTCGATTCATTGCTGGACCGTCATACTGGATTCGTCGTTTGGTCTGAAGAAGTTATGAACTTCTTCTTGTGTCCAGTGCTGGCCGTAACGGGGCGAGTCTGGGTCTGAAACAGCCATTAGGAGCTCTTCACCTCGCTCCAACCCGTTCTGCGTAAGTGCAATCCGAACAGGGTGAACGATGTCCGGTTTCAGACGGTCGCCTTTCTGCCACCCGTCGGGCAAAGTGCGACGTTCTTCGTGTAAGACATGGCCGCGCTGTGCCAGGGAGGCGTAAGAGAACGTAAATCCAGTGGCAAAAAGCCATATTATCTGGTTGAGACTAGTCGATGCCATGCTTTCTCGTGCGTGCCAAAGAGTTACAAGCAGCTGGCTCGTGGTTAAGAGGCGCCGTCGCCGCTCTGCTGGGGCTTTTTTGTATTGGCGAGCGAGACCAGAAGCGTACTCGGCTGTCTCTAGAGATGCTCAGGAAGCAGCGTCAAGAAAACTTTTAGATTTCGCCTTAAAATAGCTTTGTTCGATATTAGTCGCACCACCTTTCATAAAATCATACTACCAAACTACAGTAAGTTTTTACTAACCTCTTTCAGGGTGATATCTGGCTTACGTTATAGCTATAACAAGTTAGTGTTAGAAAATTTATTATTGAAAAGATAGCTTAAATTAAGAGGTGTTCATAGCGCTATTGAATACGTAGCTGCGTAGCCCGTCGGACTTAAAGCAGCGGATGGCTAAGCACTAGGTTTAATTCAGCCTCGTATCAGGGTATTTGTCCACAGTAAGCGTGCTATCCTAGCTCATAGGGGGTATGTTATCTTACTATAAATATTATAGCTAGCGCTATAAACCCCTTATGTTGGATACACATCGTCGTGGAGCGTTTTCACCTCAATCAACACAGGTACTGGGTGGCTATACTAGCTCCAGTATTTCTTGTCTGATGGGCGTTTACCTAATCTACCTAAGGCACTCCACCAGATCAATGGGCGTATTTGAGCAGAGAACAGAATGAGAGTGGGTGTTTGCTGGATGAGCGAGTGTGTGATATAACTTCAATCAAGAAAATCTGCAGAAACCGCATGGGGGAGTGGTTTGTCAATTTCCTATCCATGGTCCTTTCATACGTACATTCTTGGCAAGACCATGTCTCTCCCCCGCCCGCAGCCACACCACTCGAGGGCCATGCGTCACCACCACCACTACTCGTGAAACCACCGTAAAAACAAGTCCCGGGCGCAAGCGCCTCACAGGATCAACTCAAGCGGCGTTCAAAGAACGCAAAAACCAACCCTTCATCCAGAGAGACGAGGATGCTTCCACCCGTACAAACAAACACAAAAATGTCGGCTTTCAACGTCAACGCATCTTCCCAGCCTCCCAGCGCGGTCCTCTTAGAAAAACGCCAGAAGAAAGGAAAAAGGGAGGAAAGCACGACGCTTGTTACCAATCAGCACAACAACCTCTCTCTTCTTCCCCCCAGCAACAGCCGCGGACAACGGGTGCAAAGCATACAAGAATCCAGGAGCGGGCCGGTGGGTTGAATGGGAGAGAGAGAGGCGTGGCGAATGAGCGAGTCATGTCCAACATATTGCCGGATCGTAATCAGCACACATCGCTACCTCATTGCATCCTTAAGCTGTACCACTATGCACTCCAAGAGGTCACTTGTGCAGCGCGTCAAGCGGGCAAGCCACGGCAAGACGGGGTGCGGCGGCAATGCAGCGTCGAGGTGTGGAGTGGAGAGCAAGGGAAATGAAGGCAGGAGGGCCGAACAGAGGGTCGGGCGTAAGGGACCTCGGGAACAGACATACTCAAGGAGATATACACAAACCTCATCATTCGATGGAAGACATCTGCAGACAGCCCACATGCAGTCTTGGGACACAAGGAGATTACATGGAAAGTCGACGTAATAACAGCTGTCTGCAGAGCTTCACTGTCAAACTTGGCAATGAGGGGATATCGATCCAACGCGCGCCCGCAAGAGAGAGCACAACGCAAGACGAATAAACACAAAGAAATACATGTTGGTGGGGTATATTGAACAAAGGAACCAAATGTGAAATCAAAACACCGACACATGCAAGCGGAGAAGCAAGCTTCGTCAACGCAGAGACATGTGCCCAGAATCCCGTCTCCAGAGAGCGTTTCCGCATCATCATGGAGAGAGAGAGAAAGAAAACTTCAAACGCAAGGTTCGGTCTGAGCAATTACGGCTCATCGCAGGTCGGTCAGGTCGGTAGTTGTCTGGTAGCAAGTCCAGTCATTGGCCGGTTGACGCAGAAGGCAAGCCGAAAGGTCAGGTGGTCAACGACTGGACTTGCTAGTATTATTCGACAAATATAGATCTCAGATGAACGGATTGTGCTGCTGCTTTTCCTGTGGATACGGCGTCGGCGCATACTGGTTGGAAAATGGGCCAGTGCGGTCGTCAGCCGGTGAGGGATCAGCGAGCTGTCCATGGCTACTCGTGCGTAGGTGTCCTGGTCGCTCGGATTCGGTCACCGCACGCGCGCCAACGCGGCCGACCTTTTCTGTTACAGGCTCAACATTGTTGTCGTGCTCGAATGTTGAGAAAGGCCGAGGGGCAAGCGTATAGGGCGCTGCCTTGTTGACATTGTAATCGTTGGGCACGTATCGCGGCGGCGCGGTAGCAGGGTAATCAGCGGCGGACTTGGAGACATGGTCGGTAGCAGGGTCGATGACATAGGGATTTCGTGCTGTTTCTGAATTGTCGCGGCGGAAGAGATGGGTCGAAGCGTATACGAGGCCACCGATGGCAGTGAAGAGCCATATGAAAATCAGGGCGGCGGAGATGAGCGCTTCAGTCTGAATGCCGCTCATGAGCTTGTCAATGACGCGATCGACTGCTTCGGTGATTTCGTCCTTGGCTTTGCCATTGGGGTCGGCGAGAAGTTCGGAGGCCGAGTCGGAGTCACCTTTCTCAGCAAGGGCACCAAGAGTAAAAGTGTCGTTGGCGACGCCTGGAAACTGAACGTGCGCGTGCTCTTGAACCCAGGTGAGTCCTTTTTGGAAACTGGCAATCTTGAGGCCAATCAAACAGTTGAGTACTTCCTTGATTGGGTCGTAGAGGATCGTGCCACCGAACGTGGTATTGAGCGTGGTGCTCATCTGGTCGACAAAAGCATTCAGAGTATCGTTGACTGCAGTCGTGCTGGTATTGACCCAGCTAAAGATGTCGTCATTGAGTTTGTTGTCCATGTCGCCAATGGCATTGTTGACACCGTTAGCCCACGCTGCGGATGCATTGTTGAGTGAAGTGACGACTTTCTCGGCAAAGTCGGCAACTTGATCCGTGAGCTCTGGCGTCTTGTCTTGGATGGCTTTGAGCAAAAGGTATTGACAGAAGCATGCAAAGAGGCCAGCGATGCCTAGAGAGATCAGAAACAGCATGGGTACAGAAGTGGCGTAGGCCCAAGCCCAGCGCATGACGGCTTGTCGTCGAGCTGAGCCAAAGCGCCTGCCGAGCCACAAGCCGATACCGGAAGAGGTCGGCCGGGACGCGAGATAGACGACGTCCATGCCTTCGTGGCCCTCTGCAAAGAGAGCAGCACGTTCTTGCATCCTGCGGTAGCGGCGCATCTCCATCCAAGCCATCGGGGCACAGGCCAGGATAGCGGCAATAATGAGCACACCAAGAGCAATTTTCCGTGCGTCGTAAGCCAACTTGATGAGGTCATCGAAAAAACCATTAATCGAGTTGCCGTCAGAGCAGAAGGTTAGGGTCTCCTTCTGTGGCACAGGAAGCGCGGATCGGTTGAACTCGAATGTGTTCATGCCTCTGATCAACTTTTTGACTTCCTCAAAGGGCAGGCGAATGATGTTGTCGGTAAAGTTCTGCACCTCGGTGAAAGTGGGAATGGACTGGTTGAGCTTCTGGAGCCCGTTTGTGAGATCAGAAGGCAGTTCGAGGCCCTTGAGTTCAGAAATTTGCTTGTCCAAGTTGATGGTCGGCTTGTTGAATCCCGGGATATTGAAGTTGATCTTGTCTATGATGGAGTTTATGCCGTCTGAAACGGATTTGACCGCGTCGCCCATGTCTTCGGTGACCGAGTTGATGGTCTCGTTCAGTTTCTTGGTGACGGCTTCGCCAATTTCCACAGCGGCATGCAGACTGCCGCTGACAGCCAGGGTGATGAGGCAGAGATAGGTACTTGTCATCATGTGGATGACGAAGAGGATAATCTCTTCGACACCCGTGACACTCATTTCAAGCATGGTCATGAGGCCACTGACTGCCTTGTCGACCCCGGAAGCCGTCATCTCGTTGAGGCCGGCGGACATGTAGTGAGGCATCGAGGCCATGGAGCTGCCAATCCTCTCGACTGAGGTGCAAGCACTGAGGGCCTCGCGGCGGGCGGAAGCGAGGCTGGAGTCTGTTGTTGCAATGGCGATGAGCAGCCGCACAAGGACGAGGAGCAGTAGAATCGTCCAGCGATTGATCCATATCTGAGAGAGCCTAGCTCGAAGGCCGAGGTATGGTTTGAAGTTTGGTGTTTGGTTTATCGTAGGTCGTGGTGCATCCTGCGGTGGGTAGTAGTCTCGCATCTCATGACTATCGCCAGCGGACATTGATGGAGGCACAGGTGGGAAGAGTTGCTGCTGGTTCGCGGAGGAAGCCATGACGAGCTTGTATGTCTGCGAAACGTAGGTCTGGCCGATGGATTAGAAGCGGAAAACGATTTGCTGTGGTTGGGTTGTCAAGTAGCAGCGCCGGTATGGATGTAGGCCAGCTAGATCGGTGATGGCTACTAGCCGTGGGTGGCGGCGACGCGGAGAAGAGAATTAGGCGGTAGTGGTGGGGAAATGCAAAACAATAGACGACAATAGGAAAAAGGTCAACGCTCCAGACAATGCAATAAAGGAAACGTAAGGTGAAGTAAGACCAGTGAATGGAGAATGGACGAGCAGGGAGCGACGGTGTGAATATCTACTTGACAAAGACTAAACGAACAGGCTTCACGTACCGCGGGTGAGCGAGGACCAGTTGCAGGCCCCCCGCCAAGTACCAATGGTACCGCGAGAAGAGGGCTGCACGACCAGAGGGTTTCGGCAGGGCATACAAGCTCGTGAGGCTCAAGTTAGAACGGGCGGTTTGCAGCCAAGCAAGGTGGTGGCCCGAATAGGCGCCCGCACAAGTGGAGCAAGGCCAGTGGCGGCCAGTCGATTGCCTGTGCAGCGGGCGGGCTGGCGGAGGCTCGAAACAAGGCGCTAGAAGCGCGCCATTCGACAGCGGCTGCAGGCGTGCATCGTTTTACGCTCGAGTGGCTATCGTGATGAGTTGGCTGGGCGGGTGCGCTTTTGGTCCACGGCTTGCGCTCACTGGCATGCGGTCGGGGCCAAGACGAGACGGGGCCAGATGAAGGCCGCGTGACGTCTACGGGCGGCGGGCGCGCAAGATGAGGGTCGAGTCGAGCGCAAGGGAGCGCGACCTCTGGGGTGTCGGTGGGCTGCAGAGGAGGAGCTCGAAGGAGGAGAGAAGATGGGCCAGGCCGCGATTTTGTTCTCGTCTTGGCCACAGCCACTCGCCCGCCTATTCCCTGTTTTTGGGGGGGCGTGGGCGCCGTCGGCAAGACGTCATGCCCTGACACGCCCCAAACAGGCCCGCACACATTATACATGCACACGTGCATATGTGCCTGCACGCGTACACAACGAGCATGACAACGACAACGACAACGGCGAAGACATGTTGGCCGCGCAACGGCCGTGTTCACAATGCGGACGTGGGACCGGCGATGCTCTCAAAAGAGGCGGCCCGTCCCAGCGCTGCGGAGGGTGAATGACGAGCAGGCGGAATGTGCAGAGGAGAGACGGAAAAGGAAGGGCAGAATATGGCGGCGGGACGGGAGGACAAAGGAGACGAGGGCAGACGAGCGGCAGGCTGTTGTTGTACGTGTTAGTGCGTGCGTGGCCATGGCAGGAGCGTCCCCTGCAACAGGAAGTGACGCTCCATCGTGTGCCCTCGAGACACGGCGACCTGGTGGGGCTGGCAGATGGCCTGTTGGCGCTTCTCAGCGCACTGAAGAGCATCCTGAGCGGGCAAGACGAAACAGGCACTGAGTAAGCATGCGGTGCTGAAGGCGCCGGGCAGCCCACGAGCGAGGCGGGCGAGGCGGGCAGCGGGGGATGTGGACAGGACGGCGGCGAGGGATATAGGGCATGACTGGGCGGGTCAAATATAGCACGCGGCGGCCCCCAGGGGAGCAGACATGGAGTTGAAGTGGCAGGCGGCGCGTGTTTGAGGCTCTGTGCCTGCCAAGCCGTTGATTGGGCAGGAGCCATCGACGGGCGGCCGCGCCTTCCCCACGAAAGCGCTACGCCGCAGCCACCCCGGGGCGTCTGTGCGTCGTGTGCGAAGCCGCCAGCCTCGACTGTGGCACCACCCGCCAAGCATTCTTCGTCTTCATCTCTCGCTGGGCCGTTGCTGAGGTGTGAAGGGCGCCGAGGTGAAAGCAACGCCTCGCAGCCCCACACCACACCTTTCTGGCCCATTCCCGACCATCGCCTCTGTTGCTTGCTCGCCCAAGCCGTGCTCTGTGACGACAAAATCACTCTGCCCCACCGCACGATACTTGCTCCTTCATTCACACCATCGCTTGCGCGCCCGCACCCTCTCGTATCGTTGGCCTATTTCATTTCAGCTCACACGTTACGAAACTTTGTTTACCTCAACTCGCGCGCACTGCACTCTCAACCATCTCGGTTCCGCCTCTCACCTCTTCTTTGACTCCCTTGGGCTTGGAGAGCGCATAGTAGACTAGACAGCACTCTGGCAGAAATCACTGCTTTGCCCGCCCGCATCGCCCTCGACGCTCACATACGCACCGCTGAATACACCGCTCGTCAAGCACGCGGACACGCACCTCGTTCTTGTGACCGATATCGTAGGCTCCCGCTGAGTGCGCAAGATTTCAAAGCCACGCACAGTGTACGCTTTACTCTTCACCTTTGTCGCTGCTAGGCAGACTTTGTGAACTCCAGCATTGATATCAGGCAGCGACCAGCCGAGCAATAACACATAGCCTTGCCGCAAACATTCTGCATTCGAAAATTGGACGCTTTCCCACTGCTCCGAAGCAAAACTCCTCGTGAGTTTTCCATTCAAATTCGTTTCGCTAGACCTTTTACTCAGACATACGTTATTCTCAGACCTCAAGCGCTTGAATAAACGCACACTCTAGAATTCAGTTGGCGTCTCCGCAACCCTGTAAATTTTTGGCTCTCGCCAAAGCCTGAAATCTCAGGTATGTGATCAAAATGATATTACAATGGTTCGTAGCTTTTGCCGATGACCGGAGGAGAGTGACAACTCACCCCATCGCCTATTGGTGCCTTGACGTGGACTGCGTGGCTGTTTCGCTGCCTCATCCCACGCATCACATGTCTAGACAGCGAACCAGCATGACTAGCGACTTCGCAGGCGGTGGCCCATTTGCTACGACTTCACCGCAAGCCCAATGAATGACTGCTAATCAACTGTGCTTCTCAATTATAGTGTCTAGGCTACATCGTACCCTTACCTCGCCGCCATAACACACACCGGTATCGGTTTGTGAGTATATGAGACCTACAAGCCCATCGCACAACGATTCCTCCTTCCTCGACGCGGTCAACTCTTGGGAGAATACACAACCAGCACAAATCAAAGTTTGGTGACATTGAGGAGCACTCAGGGGCGCTATACTGCAGCAAATTATCAACGTCTGCCTTTCAATTCAAAACCTAGGCAGGACTACGCGTCAGCTTCAATGTCCAACAATATCCAGGCTATGGGTGGCGGGGGCATAGGCGAGAATCAAACCCATTCATCGCTCGACTTTGACAACTCCAAAGTCAAATCCCCACAGTCTATTAGCAGTGGCGATACTCTTCACGATGGCGCTTCGGATGCCTATTCCAGCACTGACGATGCACTAACCCTCACCAATCCTGCAAGCCCAGAGAGTCTCAATCTCAACAGCCTGTCCATCAAGGACGGAGGCCCCCGTGCCCGCAAAGACAGCAGTAGTCGCTATAACCACCCTTTTCAGCGTAACATCAAGCAGCACGGTGATACCAAAACATACAGCTCTCCTGGTCGTAATCTTATTGGTTCTTACCGAGCAGGGGCTCCAAATACTGGCAGATGTGGCATTGGAGGTTTCCGCAACGCTCATACATGGATGTCCCCTGACGCTCAAGAGCAACAGGACTTTCTCATCATCCGTAACTCGATGCGTCGTCTTTTCAAGCAATCCGATGTCGCCAAGTGGAAGCTCAGTGATTACGTTGCTCATCGTGAAGCAATGGTCGCTACAGAAGCTAACAAGCTCGCACGTCAAGTCAAGCAGAAGGAACAAACTAGAAGCTTTTCTTCGTTAATCGCCCAGGACACGGAGGATTTTCTGCGCCGCTGCGGCCTCGACGGGAACTTCAAGGAAATTGGAAACTGTGGTCGTGTTCTTGGAGAACAAACTATCTGGTGCAGAGATTGGACAAACGGCAAAGAGGAGGTGGCACCATGGCCTTCGATCGCAGAGATGAAGTGGGAAGGAGATGACCGGGCCAAGACAGGCGTAGGACGTTTCCTTCCTCTACCACGCGAAGACGGTCCTCCAGGTCTTATGTGGAATCAGCTTCCTGTCGTCGAACAATACCCCATGGACCAGGTCTGCAAGATTCCCACCATGGAGGACGTCTACCTCCCTATCGATTATCACATTGAGCCAGACCACGAATATCTCTGGAGTAAGCAACTTGAACAAGACATGGACGCTTTGCTGGAGACTTGATCATTTCACTTTCTTCTACAACATCCGTCCCCCAGCGCTCAGCCTATAACCCGCATACCCTACCTCTCAACCGCACTGCCGGCTACGCACTGACTTGGCTCATGCCGGTCTTCCAATGGAACCGCTAGCGACTGCAGCTATCATCGACCGGCTTATGACCAACCCGATTGTCTTGCGCTTCGACCTTGCATAATACGACAACTTGATTTTTGCCGCCAAGGCTTCTTCTTTCCATGACGACACAACACATTACGAAAGATGAAAATTCATCAGCTTTCACGATCGCGATACCCCACAGCATAGCATAATGACGGCGTTTGGAAATACCGCTTCTGACTCTGCCGTGGGAGAAACTCACCAGAGTAAGCTCAGAATGGAGTCTTTTGTATTCTTCTTTTCACTGAATTTTCGAGTTAGGGTCCTTGAACGACATTGGAAGTGGTGGGAGCGGGCTCCTTTGCTTGAGTTGCATTTGTTTAAATTCCTAGTCATGGCGCGTTTTTTGTAATTCCAGATTCCTAAATTCTCTCCCCCAAAGAGCAATGAAGTGCTTATCCTCTGTTTTCCACGTGACGTCTTGATTGGCACATGTCGTTGACACGATCGGTGTAGTTGTCCGTTTTGGTATAAGCGTGATTCCGTTTAATCTCGTCTCTTCCCGCGCATCAGACACCACGCACATTCTCTCACTGGCCATCCTACTCTTGAAACGCCTTTAATACCCCAAATAACCTTCAAGCTCGATATCCTCGGCAATGGAGGCCTCATGATACCGTTGGTATGGCTGTTGCTTATTCAAAGTCTCCATCCCCAAAACGCTACGTCCAGAAGCGTCTCTCCATTACACCAACCGCTCTCATCCATAACCTGATGGTGAGAACTGTTTTCATCTCCACCTCCTAATTTGCACCAGGTAGACCCCAGATCCAATTCTTGCGCTTATTTGCGCAACTGTAATGGGAGTCTTACGTCTTGCTGATGCGGGGGCTTCTTCTTCCAATCGGCTAGATTCCACATGGTAGCCATGTTTTTCACCCGATACAAATACGCCCTCTCTTATATGCCATATGCTATGTGCCCGTAGGTACAGTAATGATGACAACTGCAGTGGATAATGCAGCGGCTTTTGGATCGGACATGACGGCGGCGCTTGCTCAGCCTTGTGTAGGACAAGTCCAATTGTACGACGAGGGTTCTGAAATCAAAGGCAAAGAGCGTAAAACCCCCCCCCCCCGTGAAGAGCGGCAATTGAGATTTGATATATACCAGGCAAAGACGTTTCTGACTGACGATTTCAAAGAAAAAGTAAACGGACCAAGCGACTCCAAATATATCGCACGATGAGTAAGGAGCAGAGCCAATGGATTTCTTGACCTCGTATTGCATCCCTAATCAAGATTGTGGTATCGCCGCGCCACAAAGCAAGTCGATTCTCCTCATCGGGTGTCTTACCGCGAGGTCCCCCATGAAGGCACTAAGGCAAGGCCCAGGTGATCTCACTTCCCATGCCAGCGCATCAGCCGGATCATTTGCGCTGGGCCAAAAAGCCCATATTGTGGGGTTACGATCCAAGGCGAGCACCGCTTATCTCGACAGACGTCGCACGCCTAATGCCCTTTGTTCGCATGGGACACGGCACGCCTTACGGCGCGCCTCCATCCGCATCCTCACCGTCTTTCACGTCCTTGGTCATGTGCAGGATCCGAATTTGCGCGCCGTTGGGACACAGGATGGCATCCTCGCGCCCGCTCCTCACGTAGCCGCACCGCTCGTACAGCGCTACGCCGCTCAGCGTGGCGCCCATTTCCAGCCTCGAGAAGCCCGCCGTCTCGCCTGCTTTGCCCGCCGCCGCCTGCTGCTCGCAGTACCGCATCATCATGGTGCCCAGCCCGCGACGAGCATACGCCGGCGACGTGAAGATGGCGCGGATGCTCGCGCGCTCGACGGCCGGGTCGCGCTTCTCGGGCATGCGCAGCAGCGACGGCGCTGAGTCGCCGCCATACAGCGTCTTGCGGAACGACCACCCCCCACACGCGCAGATGACCTCGGGCTGCGACACCGGGTGGAGGATGAAGTATGTCCTTTTTTCGCGTGTGAGTGTCAGTTGCCCAAGCGACGACGAGCTCAAGGGGAGGGAGGGAGGGAGGGAGCTCGGGGGGGGAGGGAGCTCGGGGGGGAGGGGTAAAAGCATCATGGAACGCCTTACTCGTCGTGGATTAAGACTGAATCCGGGCCAAACAGGTAGCCTATCGAGCCGTCGAGTTCCGCCTGCGTGTAATACCCTTTTCCCAGCGCTCGCAGCGAGTCGCCAATCATCTGCTGGAGCGCTGGTATGTCTGCCCTTGTTGCGGCGCGGAATTCATAGCGGCGCGTTGCTTCTTGCGCCTTTGCGTCGGCAATGGGGTCATGCATTTTGCTGTGTCGCTGAGTCCAGGCTTAAGTACTCCGATGTTTTGTTGTTGGAAAATGGGGATTGTTGCTGAGTACGTAGTAGATAGAAGGGGATTTTTTTTTCGTCTTGTATGGTATGTAAGTATGAGAAACAAACTTTAATTTCTCTTCCTTTATCTCTCTCTCTTCCCCCCTCGCCCCCACATAGATATATACGTGTAGAATAGCGGCATTCGCTTGCTCGCTCGGCTTTGGTAATGTTCCCTGTCGTCGGCAAAAAAAAAGAAGACTAGTAGGCTTTGGCGAACCTGAGATGCGCATCTCTCTTGCCTTCCCCGTCGGAAACCCACGTACAACCACAACTAAAACCAGGGCCCTGGGTATTTCGTCACTTTCTTGGCACTCCCGATTACCTCGCATTAGGGCAATAATCATGTTGAAAAAAAATAAGAATCGGAGTCGGAATCGGAGTCGGAGCAAGCGAACCACGGACTGCAGAGCCCAAGGTGTTTTTATTTGTTTAGTACGAAATTCTAGATAGTATTTCTCGCAAAAAGAAAAAGGGGGGGAAACCCTTAATCGTAGGCCTCTTAGATATGGTGCCAGCACTTGCGTGTATTGTCCATTGGTGTACAGAAGAGAAAACTTTGTGGACAGCATTCACTATCTGTTTTACACTTGACTATTGATTTGAACGTGTTAGCGATAGGCACCAAGAAATAGAGAAAAAAAAAGGGGAGAGGGGGGGGGCTTAGTAGGTAATAGGGAGACACTCACGTCCTTCCGTCGCTACCTTGCAATTATTAGGTGGGTCATTGTTGCTTACGGCGGCATGATGGCCACGCTTTGCCTGCTCGTCGCGTGCGGCTGTTATTTTTTATGTGAAATTAGAAACGTTGTTGTAGAACTTGGATATGGGGTTGGGGGGGTTTTTTTTAAATACCTAGATGCATGGCACTAGCCGTTGCGGCGATCAACAGCAGGAAAGAGACGTTGAACTGCATGGTAGTTGTTGGGGCTTGTCCGAAGATGTAAAGGCAAAGTATCTGGCGTTGCGTGCAAGCGATACTCCGTGTACGATGGTATAAAACAGCCAATAGATAAAGTTGAACATGAAAAGGAAGAAAAAGCACCGGATGTATATATAGTGGCCCTTTTGATTTTAGGTGCTTACACGGGCTGGTAAGGAAAAAGACCATGCAATTATCTTACTTACTACGGAGGTGCCTCACAAAAGTTTTGTCCTGCCAAGAATAATTTAGCCGAAATCTGGCCGCTCTCCTACACAACGCCTATCTCTCCCCTCTATATACTCATTACCACCTTGTAGCTCAATTATCTTTGGAATATGTATAAGAATACGCTCAATCC